AACCCAATGCAAAGAAACTAAGAACTTTGAAAAAAGGTTTGATGAAATGTTAACAAAAATACACAACTTAGAGAGGAATATAAGTGAATTAATGGAGCTGAAAAACACAACAGGAGAACTTCGCGAACTATGCACAAGTTTTAACAGCGGAATCGATCAAGCAGAAGAAAAGATATCAGAAGTCGAAGACCAACTTAATGAAATAAAACAAGAAGACAAGATTAGAGAAAAAAGGATAAAAAGGAAGGAGCAAAGTCTCCAAGAAATATGGGACTATGTGAAAAGACCTAATCTACGCTTGATAGGTGTACCTGAATGTGACGAAGAGAATCAATCCAAGCTGGAAAATACGCTTCAGGATATTATTCAGGAAAACTTTCCCAACCTAGCAAGGCAGGACAACATTCAACTCCAGGTAATACAGAGAACACCACAAAGATACTCCTCAAGAAGACCAACCTCAAGGCACATAATCGCCAGATTCACCAGGGTTGAAATGAAGGAGAAAATACTGAGGGCAGCCAGAGAGAAAGGTCAGGTTACCCATAAAGGGAAGCCTATCAGGCTCACAGCAGATCTCTCAGCAGAAACCCTACAAGCTAGAAGAGAGTGGGGGCCAATATTCAACATCTTTAAAGAAAAGAACTTTCAACCCAGAATTTTACATCCAGCCAAACTAAGCTCCATAAGCGAAGGAAAAATAAAATCTTTTGTGAACAAGCAAGCACTCAGAGATTTCATCACCACCAGGCCTGCTTTACAAGAGCTTCTGAAAGAACCACTATACATAGAAAGGAACAACCAGTATCAGCCTTTCTAAAAAATACCAAAAAGTAAAGCGCATCAACATAATCAAGAATTTACATCAACTAATAGGCAAAACAGCCAGCTAACATTAAATGGCAGTATTAAATTCACATATATTATTATTAATTCTAAATTTAAATCAACTAAATCCCCCAATCCAAAGACACAGACAGGCAAGAAAAGCCAAAACCCATCAGTGTGCTGCGTCCAGACCCATCTCACATGCAAAGATACACAAAGACTCAAAACAAAGGGATGGAGAAAGATTTACCAACCAAATGGAGAGCAAAAATACGTAAATAAATAAAAAGCAGGAGTTGCTTTAAAGCAACAAAGATCAAAAGAAGCAAAGAAGGATATTACATAATGATAAAAGGATCAATGCAACAAGAAGAGCTAAAGATACTAAATATATACGCACCCAATACGGGAATACCCAGATATATAAGACTTATAAAGAGACTTACACTCCCACACAATAATAGTGGGAGACTTCAACATCACTATTAGACAGATCAATGAGACAGAAAATTAACAACGATATCCAGGATTTGAACTCAGATCCGGAACAAGTAAACTTAATTAACATTTATAGAACTCTCCACTTTAAATACACAAAATATACACTCTTATCAGTACCACATCACGTCTATTTACAGGTTTAAATGAAATATTGGTTGGCTGCTTGTTTGTTATTTTCTTCCCTCATTTTTTTTTTCATGTCCCTATTATTAAGCACAATTATAGGCATACCCATTTTTAGACTGCATTCTAGCCCGGGCAATAAAGCAACACCCCCATTCTCTCTCCCTCTTCCTCTTTCCTTTTCTTCCTCTCCTTCATTCTTTTTGTTTTCTTTCTTTTTTTTTTTAGGAAAAAAAAAAGAAAGATTAACAAGACTAAAACAAGTTGAGTGTATTAATGCATGCATTGTGTGTACATGTGGAGAACTCGATGATGAGTAACTCAAATGGGTGATTAGAATTTGGGCTTAAAAAAAAATAGAAAAAAAAAAGGAAGCATTATAACCCCCTAACATCAAACTGGGACACCTACTTACTACGTACTGTGAAATCAGGATTTTGGTGAAGGAGGAAGCTGAGAACTGACATGTTTTCTTGAAGCTCGAGACTTTATTAAACATGTCATAGTTATGAAAGGCTTATCCAGCAGTCCCTTGATTAGATTGAAGAGGGCTGCAGGTGGCTCAGGAGGATGGAGGGAAGATGGAGCTGGAGGAGAATCAGGCAGGATACACCAGAGGAGACTGCTGGAGGTGAAGCATGATGAAGGAAATTGTCTTAGCCCCAGCTGCTGTAACAAAATACCATACACTGGGTAGCTGAAACAACAGACATTTATTTCCTCACCGCTCTGGAGACTCGAAGTCTGAGATCAGGATGCTGGCAGTTTCTGGTGAACTCTTTCTTCCTGCAGTGTAAGTAGCTGCCATCTTGCTGTGTACTCACATGACATCTTCTTCATGTGGGTGCAGAGAGTTCACTCTCTGGTGTCTCTTAAGGGACAACATTCCTGTCATATCAAAGCCACACCCTTATGACTTCATCTAACTTTCATTACCTCTGTATAGGCCCTGTCTCCAAATAAAAGGACCACTGAAGGTTAAAGCTTCCACATATGAATTTTGGAGGTGACAGGGGCACAATTCAATCCACAGCACAAGGTGAAAAAGCATCCAAAGCAAAGGAAGTGTAACTGATGGGGATTTCTGTGAGCCCCAGCCCAGAGGAAGGAATTTACTTAATAATAAGCTATTCAAGACAGCAAATGTCAATGAAAATTGCAGATTGCCCCCCCCGCCGCCTCCTCATCACACACTATGTTTCAGCAGATAACAAGCCCCACTAAAGAAGACTCATAATCAGAAAAGACCCAGAAGGGGACTGCTCCGGGCCAGGTTCTCTAGAAGCAGAGCCTCAGACAAGGATTCTTTGAAGAGTGATTTCTTAAGGGAGCGGTCTCAGGAGGAACTTCTAAGGAAGTGAGAGAAGCAAGATCAGGCAGAGGGAAAAATTAAACACATGGCTTCAGCTGAAGTCTAGCCTCAGCCTGATCCCATAGGGAGCTCTGGAGCATGACTGGCACCAGAGAAGTAGACTGCCCCACCTTGCAGCAAGGGAGCAGGCTTTGGAATTTCAAATCCATCAGTCATTGGCTGTGGACCACCCTCAGGTGGAGGACATAATATCAAGAGGGCAAATTCTCAGGAAAGAGTGTATCTGTGAGCCATTAGCAGCCAACATTCACAGCAGCTGACGGATGAGTACAGTGACTTGGTAAAAGGCATCTGGGCAGAGCACCACCACCACCTACCATAGCAGTGGTTGTCAAAGTGTGGTTCCTGGGACAGCAGCATCAGCCTCACCTGAGACCTTGTTAGTCATGCAAATTCCCTAGCTCAACCCCAGATCTATTTGAATTGTAAACTCTGGAGATGAGACCCAAGAACCTGTGTTGCAGCAAGCCCTCCAGGTGATTTTGTTGCATGCCCAAGTTTGAGAACCATTCAACTTCACTGGCCTATATGACTAGCAACTGTAAAAACAAAAGGATTGGAATTGAGTCCAAACCTCTTGCAGTCCCCTGCACAGAGTCCTTTTTCCACCTCTGCCCATGTTGTTATCCCCACTTGAAATGCCCATCTCCCTTCCCATCTCCTCCAGGCCCCCATCCCAAATTATGGAAGTACTGGGCATCTTTGAAGACCAAGCCCAGATGCCACCAGCTCCATAAAGCGTTGGATTCGCCCAGCGCAGATGATTGCTGTCTCCTCGGTGCCCTCTGAGCATTTAGTCTTCACCACGCTCTAACATACATTCCACCTTGAGTTGTGATTATTGGAGCGTATTTCTGGTCCCCTGTGAGATTAAGCTGCTGGACAACAGCTGTTCCTTATCCAGCTTTGCATAACTCTGCACCCAGAAAAGAATCAGTGCTCAATGTTTGATGCAATAAGTTGAAAAAAATCAAATTGGAAAGCCCGAGATCCATTTTTATCATTCTGAAAAACTCCTCAGTTCCAGCTACTATTATTTGTTGAAAACTGGGAGATTTCTGTGCATTTATAGACATGAATTGGAGGACCATCGGAGAAGTGACTCAGAAGAGCATTGCCTTGTATGCTGTCTCCTTTTGTGGAACTTAGTACTTAGGAGGGACAGTGAGTGCTCATCTGTGCTTCAGCCCCGTCATTCTCACAGCTCATTTTCAGTATAGCCTCACAAACTCAATGCCTGTATTGGTTATCAGTTGCTTGGGCAGGATGGAGAAATTTTATTCAGTGTCCCTGTTGTCTTGTCTTCCTTCCACTCCTACCCCCAAAAAGAGGGCCCGAGGAAGCAGTTGTGGGACAATAATGATGGTAATAATAATAGCCAACACTTCCATGACACTTCCAAGTCAGGCACAGTTCTGAGTGCTCTACTCATGAATCCTCTAGAGAGTAGGCACACTATTTTATAGGTCAAGATACCAAGGCAGCTTAAGCAAAGTCGCCCAGTTGGCAGGAACAGAGCTAGGATTCTGGCCTTGAAGTTAGAGGTCCAGTTTGAATCTCAGCTTGTTACTTACTAGCTCTGAGAAGTTATGCAAGTTACTTAACGCTCTGAGCCTTGATTTCCTTATCTGTAAAATGGGGATAATCATCTCCTTTTTGAGTTATTGAGAGATTAAACGAGATAACATATCTGAAAATTACTGTGCCTGGTAGATGATTAATAATAAGTTTTTTTTTTAACAGTGTCTTACTCTGTCACCCAGGTCGGAGTACAGTGGCTCCATCTTGGCACCCTGCAACCTCCACCTCCTGGGTTCAAGTGATTCTTCTGCCTCAGCCTCCCGCAATAATAACTATTCTTAAAAGAGTAAAATGACAACATTAATAATATTAACATTGTAGCAACTAAAGTAGAGCTAAAGAGAATATGTTCTCTTGCTAGCGAAAGGCTTTTCATTTTTATGTCATGTTGTAAAGGTAATTTGATTCCAATGTGAAAAATTATTTCACTCCAGCAGGAGTTCATAAGATAAAACCACATTTAACATGTAACGTAGAGCCTGAATGTTCTTCCCCACGAATGAGGCTCTTCCAGCAAATGGTATTTTTGCTGGTCAGATTACACTGGGCCGATACAAATTGGAAAAGAAAATATTGAGATCACACTGAAGCCATCCAAAATAGCCTGATATGTTTTAATCATTCTGTTATTAGCTTGCTGCATCTTATAACATTTTCTTTTGAATCAAGTCACAGCCGTGTATACTTTAGGCTGTGGCCATCATAAACAAATATGTAAAGACACAGAGTTAAAACAGATGAATAACAATGGTTATCCATTAGTTTGATGTAATCTAACACAAATGACCATTAAGAGACTTGCGAAGAAATCGGACAAACAGAATTTCACGTAGGAGCTTCTGCGTAACTGAATGCCAGCATTGCTGGTGCCTGTTGTTTGGTTTGGTCAAGGTTATGCTTTTGGGAAGCCAACCCTCCCTTATAGGTGAATCTGTTGAAAAGTGAGGCTAGTGGAAGATTTCAGGGTACAGAGAGCTAGATTTCTATAAAATATATTTGAAGATGGTAAAGCGAGTACTCTCCTCTTCTCTTCCCTGGTAAAATTAGAGATGCGTTACCATGGAAACCTACCCATCATCACCACCAGCATAGACAGGTTTAAATCTTTTGGCAAGGAGAGGATGACTGCCTCCTCCTGTTTCTAATCCCCCCTCTTCCAACTCCTCATCTCTTTCTGACAACTGGAATTCTTCCCATACTTGGTTCTAAAAACCAATTTAGTGTCTTAAGTGATCAATTCCATAAATGCAAACTGGATAAAATGAATTTCCCTAGTAGAAGGAATGCCAGCTTGAATTACGTGGTATCAGAGTGGCTGGAGAGAGACACCGTACCTTAGAAGTGTGCCTGTGGAGTGCAACTGCTCTCTCAAAGACAGTGTGCAATGAATGTGGTCTCCACGGTGGGAGCAGTGTGAAGCTGTACTTTCCTCAACAGGAAACTGGCCTGAACAGCTCGAGTGTTGCGTCATCTTCTGATGATAACAGTTTGTCCTGATTGGGTGCTGTGACCTGTATTCTGCAGCTGGGAGTTGTTTGCTTAGGTTAGAAAAATCTGAGCTAGTGATTCAGCTAGGGACACAGGTCGAAGGTAAAAGCCAGCTGGGTCTCAGGGAGAGGCAAGCCTTGAGAAGCCCTCCTGTTGGTCACCTAGAATTGAGGTATCGTCCAGATTAACTGTGGAGTTTTTCCAGAACATCACGAACTTCCTCTGGATTGTAGTTCCAAGGGCCGGATTTACCCTGCAAGAGAAATCAATCAGGCATTCCCAGATTTCCAACTTGTAAGGGACACGTAGGTCTGGAGCTTAGTTGCAAGATCTGGTCAAATGATGTCTATGTGGGTGTCGTCAGCATGACTAATTCAATGGCAGTTGCAGCTGTGAGGTGGGTGAAAAAGTGTCTACAGTGCCATCAGCAGTTAACAGGAAGGCTGGACAGAGAAGTAGGAGGAAAACTAAAGGACGTAAAGTGACACAGACTTTCAGAAAGAGAAGGGGCCTATACAATAAGGTTTTCTTCCATCATCAGACCTTCAGACTGGCCTAATCTTCCTTTCCAGCCGCACATCAAGTTCTACCCATCCTACCTCAGCCATCTCTGCCTCTCCAGTTCTACTGCCCTAGGTCTGCCCTTTTCATCCACAGCTTGGGCAGCTGTCACCCTCACACCTATCCCCAGTCCTTACCCTGCTCCCTCCAGTCCATTTTTCATCCAGGAACCAGTGAACTTTCTTCACTGCAACCTCTGCCTTCCGGCCTCAAGTGATTCTCATGCCTCAGCCTCCTGAGTAGCTGGGATTACAGGTGCATACCACCATGCCTGCCTAATTTTTGTATTTTTAGCAGAGATGGGGTTTTGCCACATGGGTCAGGCTAGTCTCGAACTCCTGGCCTCAAGTGATCTGCCTGCCTTGGCCTCCCAAAGTGCCAGGATTATAGGCGTGAGCCACCATGCCTGGCCATTGGAACCAGTGAACTTTCTTTTGTTGTTGTTGTTGTATTTTGTTTTGAGACAGAGTCTCGCTCTGTTGCCTAGGCTGGAAAGCAGTGGCACAATCTTTGCTCACTGCAGCCTTTGCCTCCTCAGCCTCCCAAAGTGCTGGGATTACAGGCATGAGCCACCGCACCTGGCCAAACCAGTGAACTTTCTAAATACAGGTATGATCATGCCTCTTTCTTGCTCCAAACCCATCAGTGACTCTCTGTTGTGTTAAGATGAAGGCCAAACCCCTTGGTCCAGAATGAGACCCCTGCAACCCCAGTGTCCCCATCCTTTATTCATGCTCTGCCCTACGATGCCTCAGTGCCTCTGCCCACCCTCTTCCCTATGCTGCAGTGATTTTTCACTCACCGTGCTCACTTGGCCAACTCCTTATCCTTCAAGGCCCAAGCAATTGCTGCCTCCTCTGAGAAGCCTACCCTTCCCCAGAGGTTGAAAAATGTGCAGCCTGAGAGCCAGGTCAGAGCTGATGCCTCACATGCTTTCATTTGCATGCTGTCTGCAGCTGCTGTTGTGCTATAACAGCAGAACTGAATTGTTGCGACAGGGATTACTTGGCACAAAGTCGAAAATATTTACTTTCCAGCCCCATACAGAAAAGGCGTGCTGACCCCTGCTCTGGAGTCCCACAGCAGTTGGGACACTGTACCAGTCTTATTTGGGTCTTCCTTATCCCTCAGCCTGTGAGTACCTTGAAGTAAGATGTGGGTCATTTTTAATTCATTTTTGTGTTTCTGGTGTTTGCACAGGGCCTAATCCAAGGTAGGGACTCAGTGCCCAGCTTGCCTCAGTCATGCCTGAACCATGTCTCAGGGTACAGGGAAGGATGAAGGACCTGAATTCCCCTTGCACCATGGGGAATTTACCTACAAGTTTTCACTTGTTTCATCTGAATAAGTAGGGTCAGCTTGATCTTTATCTATGGACAGAAGAACATCCACATACTTGATTTCATCTGCTCCCCAAGGCTTGAAATCCCTTCAGTAGCTTTAAGATGTAGTTTCTACCTTCTCAAGGGAGGTCAAGACAACTGTGTCTAAAGGGCCAGAGGCTGTGCACTTACCTCCCTCACCCTGACCAGGCTGGAATCTTTTTTCTTTTTGAGATGGGGTCTCGCTCTGTCACCAGGCTGGAGTGCAGTGGCGCGATCTCCACTCACTGCAACCTCCGCCTCCTGGGTTCGAGGGATTCTCCTGCCTCAGCTTCCCAAGTAGCTGGGACTATAGGTGATGCCACCATACCGAGCTAATTTTTTGTATTTTTAGTAGACAGGGTTTCACCATGTTGGCCAGGATGGTCTCGATTTTTTGACCTCATTATCTACCCGCATGGAACTCTTCAGAGGAAACAATCACAAGAAAGGGAGCCTGGACTGCATTTCTGCCTCACATCCCTGCATCTAGCATTTCCAGCTCCAGACCATGGGTTCCATTCCCCTTGAGCCTTCTACCCCACCAGCCCGGGCTCAGGCCTGCCTCAGATATTAGCAGCATCAGACCTTCTCATTTCTGGCCCACCCCATCAGGGGATTTAGAATTGAAATCAGAGCCTTGACCAGTGTGACCTTGGCAAAGTCAATTCCCTCTCTCTGAACATCGTCTATAAAACAAAAACAGGCCAGACACGGTGGCTCATGCCTGTAATCCCAGCACTTTGGGAGGCCAAGGCAGGCTGATCACTTGAGGTCTGGAGTTCAAGACCAGCCTGGCCAACATGGCGAAACCCTATTTCTACTAAAAATACCAAAACTAGCCAGGTGTGGTATGCACCTATAATCCCAGCTACTTGAGAGGCTGAGGCCAGAAGAATCACTTGAACCTGGGAGGTGGAGGTTGCAGTGAGCCAAGATCACCCCACTGCACTCCAGCCTTAAACAGAGTGAGAGTCTGTCTCAAAAAAACCGCCCCCCAAAAAAAACAACAGTCTCTGTCTCTCAGCTTGAAACCAGACCAGGACTGGGCCATTATCTGAGTTCAAAAGGCAGCCAGGAGGATGCAGCTGCAGTCCAAATGCTAGGGACTTTTGCGTGCATTATTTCATCCCCTGTGAGGTGGGACCAACATTCCCATTTTGCAGAAGAGGAAACTGAAGAAACTCCAAAAAGTAAAAGGACTTACATGGCTGGTAAATGACTGGGTGATGATTTGAATCCAGTTCTGCTTGATGCAAAGCCTTCTTTTTGACCATGCCCTCCCTCCCTGGGCCCCTTTGCCCTCCCTGGGCCCCCTGCCCCCAGGTCACCACCTTGTAGAGGATCCTGCCCTCCTGGATTATGTAGAGCCTTTCCGGCAGTGCTGCGTAGAGCTCGCTGCTCTGGTTCTGCATCGTGTCCACCACCACAGGGCACTGGGGGCTCCTGGCCAGCAGCAGATGGGCTGCCTGCAGGCGGTCCTGAAGGTTCTGGTGATTCCTGATGTCCACGTTGTTCTTAAAAGCCCAGCCATCTACAAGAGAAAGGCCAGGCACCAAGTTCCATTGACATGGCACACGCTTTCTGCAGACTAAATGGCCCCTCACTTTTAACTGAGGTTCTCAGAGGAGCCCTTGGCAATGATTGGCCTAGTTTCCTATTATGGTTGAATATGCAAGGTCACATTGGGAATTAGTGATTGATCTAAAAGTGAAGCCCAGGGCTCTTGGCTGCCAGGCCCCCTGCTCTTCAATGTGAAATAGTCCAGTAAACCAGCACTCCTTGATCTTGAATTTGCATGCATCATTTGGGGACGTTGGTAAAGTAAGATTCTGATTCAGTCTGTCGAAGGTGGGGCTGAGAATCCAGCTAACTTCCAGGAGGCCAAGACTGCTGGTGCCTGGACCACACTTGAAGAGGCAAGGTTCTAGATCAGTAGTTCTCTAAGTGTGTGTCCCCAGACCAGCAGCATCAGCATCACCTGGAAGCTTGTTAAGTAGTGAAAACCCTAGGCCTCAGCCTAGATGGACTAGGAATGGGACCCAGACGTGTTTTAACAGCCTTCCAGATGATTCTAATTCATATCAACTTTAAGTACTACTCTCCAGAGTCTAAACAATTTTCTTCTCCTAATTCTTCACCACAGTGTTCTTTCAAAAATGCAAATCTGGGCCGGGTGCAGTGGCTCACGCCTGTAATTCCAGCATTTTGGGAGGCTGAGGCGGGCAGATCATCTGAAGTCAGGAGTTCGAGACCACTCTGGCCAACATGGTGAAACCTCATCTCTACTAAAAATACAAAAATTAGCTGGGCGTGGTTGTGCACACCTGTAATCTCAGCCACTTGAGAGACTCAGGCAGGTGAATCACTTGAACCCGGGAGGCAGAGGTTGCAGTGAGCCAGGACTACACCATTGCACTCCAACCTAGGTGACAAAAGCAAACTTATGTCTTAAAAAAAAAAAAAAAAGCACATCTGAGCATGTCACTCTCCTGCCTAATCTTTGATCTTTCTGTGGCTACTGCCCTCAGGACAAATCTCAAGCTCCTCTGTGTCGTCCCCCAGGCTCTCAGTGACCTGGCTCCTCCCCATCACTCCAGCTTTTTGCTCCAGCCAGATGGGTGAAATATTCGGATTCCTTGACCCACCCACCTGCAGAGTAAGCAGAGTGGGGCCTTCTTTTTTCTTAATTCAGATACTACTACCTCTGCTACTGCAGCTGATGTTGCATGAGCTCTGCTGACAGCCGCAAGATCAGCTACTCAGGGTGCGCTCATAGCCAAGTGCAATAGCTAGCCTGGCAATTACCCTTGTTCCCATGCACTCCTAAGCAGTCTCCCTGCCTTCTAATCATACTACCCTCCAACCCATCATCCTGCCTGTCCTTGAGAGACGCACAATGGGCCCACAAGTTGAAAAAAATAACCATAAACTGCTGGTGGCCTTGCCCCTCTACTTGCCCCAAGGTCATGTGGACTTTGAAGCACTGCAGAGGTGAAGCCAATAGAGCTAGAATTCACACTCAGGTCTGAAATTCTAAAGTTTGTGTTCTTTCCACCACACTTCATGCCTCCCCATATTCCACCTGGACAAATGTGGTATGTGGAGACAAGGAGGCCAACTGATTTGGGACACAGACCCCAGATCCCCTAGGATTGGTGGACACTGGCTATGTTTTATTTCTGAGGTTCAGGCCATACCTACTTCTGTCTGACAAAAACAAAGACCCTTGGGAAGGAGATGGGGAGGAGGAAGAACTGTCTGCATTAGCAGTGGTAAATCACAGAGCAGAAAAACTAGTATGTCGGGACAGGTACAGGAAGCCTTTCCTCAGTGGCTTGAGGTGGGGAGCTCTGGGTTCTGGAAAGGGTTAAATTTGCCCTGTCTGACTCTAGGAAAAATGCGTCAAGGGATAGGTATCAGGACCGGGAAACAATTTCTATGATGATCCAACTCCTCTTGTGGCAGTTTGCAATTTGTTCTTTTAAAGATTAAAGCTATATCCTTTAGGACCTTGTTACTCAAAGTGTGGCCCTGGACCAGTAGCCTTACCTCACCTAGGCTCCATTCCAGCCTGGCCCTCCTGAGCCAAAATCTGCATTTTCATAAGATCTCCAGGTGATCAGAGTGCACATTAAAGTTTGAGAAGTGCTGCCCCAAGACAATTAATTTAGCTTTGGCTGAACTTCACCTGTCAGCTGTGATGACATCAAGGTATTGTCTCTTCACTGCCACGGAGACTACAAACACCTATGCCACTCACTGCCCAAGGTTTCTTTCTTTAACTGATGGCTGCTGCTCTCACAAAGGAATATTTAACAAAGAGCTATATTGTGCTTATGTTTGCTGTGCTGGTCCCCAGGCTATTTTTTTTAAGTTTTATTATGGAAATTTCCATATATACGTGTTACGTTTTGGATATAGTTTGGTTGTTCCCACTGAAATTCATGTTGAAATTTGATCCCCCATGTGGCAGTGTTGAGAGATGGAGCCTAGTGGAAGGTGTTTGGGTCATGGGGGGCAGATCCCTCCTATAAGGCTTGGTGCTGTTCTCGAGTTCTCACTCTTGCAAGTCTGAATTAATTGTTGCAGGAATGGATTCATTTCTGTGAGAGTGGTTGTTATAAAGTCAAGAACCCCCTCAGGTTTTTGCCTCTTCTTCGCAAGTGTTGACCTCCCCTTTGATCTTCTCCACCATGTCAGGATACAGCACAAAAGCCCTTGCCAGAAGCCAGGGCCATGCCCTTAAACTTCTGTCTGCAGAGCCATGGGTTAAATAAGTATATTTTCTTTATAAATTATACCATTTAAGGCATTCTTTTATTGCAACACAAAACAGAGTAAGACAATACATGAAGGTAGAGAGAATGGTATGATGGACTTCCATTTACCTATTACCTTGTGCTAATATTTTAAGTTGCCCCAAAGTCTTAATGAGGACAGAAGCTGCCAGTTAAATGAACACAATAATAAGTTGAAAGCAGTCCTTAAACCTTTAGGTGTATATAGATCAAGATGTAATGGGTCTGGGTGGGGCCGTGGAATATGCATTTTTAATAAGCAGTCCAGGTGGTTCTAAACCAGGCATCTAGGGACCACACTGGGAAGAGCACTGATGGTCCAACTTGGCTCAGAATTAATTAGTAGTAATCTCTGTGCTTATAACACACAGACAAACCAGGAAAGTTTATATTGGTCTAAACACTTACTCATTCACCCAACTTTTACTGAGCTCTGACTGTGTGACATGGACTCTGCTGGGTGCTGGGTGACAGAAATGAGTCAGACAGCTTCTCTCCCATCTTGTAGGGAGATGAATGAGCACATGACTCTTGTTCCTCTTGGCCACACCAGGCTTCTTGTCTTTATTCAATCTCTAGATTTAAGATTTGGGCCAAACTCATGGATTCAAGCCCCATGGAGATCAGGGAGATGGAGGGGTGTCTGACCCTTTTATAAAGTTCAGTGGGCTTCTACAACTTCTAGACCAAGGTGTAGAAGTTTCAGGGAGGGACGTGTCTGCCCTTTATAAGGAAGAACTTTCTCATGAACAGAGCTGTCCAGCAAAGGAACAGGATTTCCTGTGAAGTAATGAAGATGGGTGACCACCAGTTAGGGGCTGTAGAAAGGATTTTCTCCCAGGTAAAAGTTGGCCTAAAGTAGTGGTTCTCTAAGTGTGCTCCCAAGACCAGAAGAATCTGTGTCACCTGGAACTTGTGAGAAATGTACCTTCTGGGGCCCCCTATCCCAGATGGACTCAACCCTGGGGTGTGGTCCAGCAGTCTGTTTTAACAAGCACCCCAGGTGGTCCTGATGCTTACCAAAGCTTCGGAACTACTGACGGTGGTGAACTGTAATGTCCCTTGGAGTCTTAGGATGTATTTTATAAGCAGCCATATAGGTCAGGCACAGTGGCTCACATCTTTAATCCCAGTACTTTGGGAGGCCGATGTGAGCAGATTGCTTGAACCTAGGAGTTCGAGACCAGCCTGAGTAACATGGTGAAACTCTGTCTCTATAAAAAATACAAAAAAACTAGCTGGGCATGGTGACATGTGCGTGCAGTCCCAGCTACTTGGGAGGCTGAGGCAAGAGGATCAATTTAGCCCAGGAGGTTGAGGCTGCAGTGAGCCATGTGAGTGCTACTGCACTCCAGCCCCAGCCCAGGCAACAGAACGAGACCTTGTCTCAAAAAAAAAAAAAAAGAAAAAGAAAAAAAAAAGAAAATTGCCATATGGCCATGATTTCACCTGTCACATTTTGAATGGGTCTAAACTCCTCGTAAATGTGTTCAAATCAGTTCCTCTCCCTTGACTTCCCTATTTATCTGATCAAAATGTTAGAGTCCTCTCCCAGCCAGACTCTGTCACTCCAGGTGTTCTGCTCTCTGTAGCCTGATTGAAAGCACAGACTGTGAGGTTAGCCTAGCGCAGGGCCTGAGAGTGGTGGGCGCGCAGTGAATAGCGGCTCTTCCCCTCCCTCCTCCTCTTCCTCCCTCCACCTCCCAACCTTGAGATGGTGCCTGGGGGAAAGGGAGAGAGAAAAGAGACAGCGGGAAGAGGTGGAAGAGGCAGAGAATCTTCCTGTACCTGATGCATGTGCTTCTTCAATGTAAATGATGAGAAAATCTGCTACAGAACTAAAGTCTTCAGTAAGTCTCTTGAATTGGTCAAATTTGAACATAAATGAAGGTCAGGTACAACTTCCAAAATTCAGCACCAGGGGCCTGTTGCCTGAAACAGAAAGAATCATCACAAACTGAGACTCTACACACAGCTTTCTTTTATAAGCACCACTTTCACTCCTACTTTCAATTCTGCTATTTTTATGCGCCCCGCCCCCCACCCCAGGAAGGGTCCTAGGCACTGGGGTTCAAAGTCTAGAGAGCATGACTTAGCAGAGGCTGCTAAATGAGAGGTTTTCGTCAGGTGGTTTCAGCAGACCACCTGCAGTTGCTGCATGTCAGGCTCCTTAAATGTGGTAAGAGGAGCTCCTTTCATGCGGTTTATGAGGCAGGCATGCATCCATTCTCTCATGTGATGGGATTAGTAATACTGCAGGGTTGCTCATTTTTCTCCATTTTATAGGCAAAGAAACTGAGTTTTACACACTTGCTCCAGGTCACACAGCAGGTCAGTGAGGAGTTAAAATGAACATTCTGGTTTCTGGACTCTCAATTTAGTGCTCTTTCTATTCGTAACACTTCAGTTTCCTCGTCCACAAGAGGGCATAATAATACTTTATAGCACTGTTATGAGGAGTAAATAAATTAAGAGAGCTAAGGGCTTCATCTGGTGCCTGGCCTGTAGCAGGTGCTGAGCTGTTGCTGTGAGCTTTTATCTCCTCCCTGAGCTGTGAAGCTGGGAGGCACCGAAGGCAGTTCCACACAGAAAGTGACGGGTTGGAGAAGGAACTGCTGCGTAATTTGCTGGGCCTGCTGCCAAATGAAAATGCAGGGCTCCTTGTCCAAAAAGTGGGGGAAAGTGCCATAAAATTCATTAAAATATAAAGACCTTTCCTTCTTTTTTTTTGAGACAAGAGTCTCGCTCTGTTGCCCAGGATGGAATGCAGTGGCGCAATCTCAGCTCACTACAACCTCCACCTCCTGGGTTCAAGTGATTTTCCTGCCTCAGACTCTTGAGTAGCTGGGACTCTAGATGCGTGCCACCACACCTGGCTAATTTTTGTATTTTTAGTAGAGATGGGGTTTCACCATGTTGGCCAGGTTGGTCTCGGACTCCTGACTTCAGGTGATCCACCTGCTTTGGCCTCCCAAAGTGCTAGGATTACAGGCCTGAGCCACTATGTCCAGCCTAAAATACAAAGACGTTTCTAATTTTCTATGGTCCCTCTCTTTTAGTTGCTATTTAATGTCATACTCCCCTGATACAGGGATCTTCATAGAGAGTGAGAGCAGATCCTCACAGCTACCCAGAACCCCAGAGACTGAGTGTGCGTGCACCTCCCCTCTCCCTCCAGCCACCAGACCAACATGCCATGCCCCACCCAAAATCACAGAAGTTGAGCCAGACACAGCCCCTTCCCACCTGGCCACCACCCCAACCCACAGGGTATTGCAACCTCTGTGAGGGACATACTAGGTACCTTGATGAGGGAAGGGGTGGACAAGAGGCTCCCCCCACCCTCGGTCACTGTAAGCCCAGGATGGGGACAGCTGCCATGAGACACTGGGGGATGCGACACCTGACCCCCACCTTCCTCACCTGACCCCCACCTTCCTCACTTCTGTATCCAGGCCCACTCTAGGGTCAGGAGATGGCCGCAGTCTCTGGGTGGGAGCAGGAAGGAGCACCTGGGGATGGGAGAGTGGGCCTTGGAGAACATGTCCTGGTAGGGCAGGGAGGCTGTGGAAGGCAGGAGCCTGTGCAAACAGAGCCTCCAAGTCCTCTGGGCATGCTCCATTGTCACATGGGGTTTCGCTTACAAAATGCAGATTCAAAGATAAAATTTTGAAGAATTTCAAGACATACTTTGCAACTCTGATGTACTAAAAACAGCAACAACAAAAATTCAAGACAGCTGCTGCAGAACATTAAACCCCAAGGACAAGGCCCTTTGGAGTGTGGGCCCCTGTCTGATTCACCGGTTTCGTGTCCATGAAGCCAGCCTTGGGTGGAAGGCCTCTGTAACTCCCCATCCTAGACTGAGGACAACTCTGGGGAGCAGCCAGCCACTGTGGTTTCTTACAGCCAGAGCTGACAATGTCAAGCCCTTACCATATATCTATTGGAGCGTGGCTGGTCTTGCACTGTGACATGGCCTGTTTAAGTGTCCACATGCTCCCCAGCCCCCCACTTGTTCCTCATTCATCCTCATATCTCCAACATGTAGCACACTCTCATTTTATCTAGAAGTATTTATTCAGCACTTAAAATATGCAAGTCTCCCTGCCACACACTGGGGATTCCACAGAGAATGAGACCAGCAGCTCTCCGGCTGTGTGCAGTTTGAAGTCTGCTTAATGGGGAGACAGGCAAAAAAAGTAAGTCAATGCATAAATGAGGACGTTTCCAATTATGATCAGTGTTAGGAGACAGACTAGAAAGGAGTGACCTACTTTAGACAGGTGGGGCAGAGAGGAGCTGCCATTTAACCTGAGAAATGAAGGACAGGCGGCCAGGTGTGGTGGCTCATGCCTGTAATCCCAGTGCTTTGGGAGGCCAAGGTGGGCAGATCATGAGGTCAGGGAGTCCCCAGGGAGTGACAGAATTTGGTGTGTTCAAGGCCCCACAAAACCACTGACATGGGAAGCAACAAGAGAGGGGTTAGAGAATTAGGGACGGGCCAGAGCAGGTAGGCTCTCATAAGCCTTTGTAAAGAATCTGGATTTTATTCTAGGTATGTGGGCTATCATGGGGATAGAAAGCAAGGGTGGTCAACATTGTTGCATATCTGCTTTCTTTGTTTTCTTTTTTAAGAGACAAGATCTTGTTATGTTGCCCAGGCTGGAGTGCAGTGGCTATTCACAGGTACCATCATAATACGCGACAGCCTTGAACTTCCAGGCTCAAGTGATCCTCCTGCTGCAGCCTTCTTAGTAGCTGGAACTACAGGCACGCTTGATCACATCCGACTCATTTCTTGCAGTTTTGGCTGCTCAGCTCCTAACTCTCCTTCCTACTTAGAATTCCCTATTTTGTAGTCTACTTATGAAACAGTGTGCCCAGCCTTGCTCTAGGGAAGACAGAAGGGCCAGGTTCACACTTTACCCCGGCAGCCAGGGCTCAGGCAGTGACCCCAGCTGGGCTAATTATACCCTTCCACATAGATCTTTGATTCTGGGAGTCATTGAGATGGTAGAATTCATCCACAGACCAGTGTGGTGCCCCGTAAGGGATGGTGATGGGTTCCCATGGCAACCACAATGACAGCAGCATCCAAACCCAACTATTGATGCTAAAAGACAGTCCAATTAAGACCAGCTGGTATTGATTCTAGAAAGCACTCAACATCTTTCCAGTATGTTCCTTTATGTACATATGTGTATGTGACCAAGAAAACCAGAGGAAACTTCTGTTGCTTACAAGCCAGAGCCCTGACTGCTACAGTATAGCTATGTAATGACAGATTTACACTTGAAGATCACTCTGACTGCTCTGTGGAGAAAGGACTAAGAGTGAGAAGGAAAGTGAGGGATAAGCAGTTGGGGGCATTGGAGAAGTCTACATGAAAGACAATGGGCCTGGATGCAGTAGCTCATGCCTGTAATCCCAGCACTTTGAGAGGCCGAGGCAGGAGGATCGCATGAGCCCATGAGTTTGAGACCACTCTGGGCAACATAGCAAGACTTCACCTGCACACACACACATACACACACACACACACACACACACACACACAAATTAGCTGGTCCTGGTAGTGTGTGCCTGTAGTCCCAGCTGCTCGGGAGGCTGAGGCCAGAGGATCCCTTAAGCCCAAGAGGTTGAGGCTGTAGTCAGCTGTGATTGTGCCACTGCACTCCAGCCTGTGTGACAGAATGAGACTGTGTCTCTACGAGAGAGAGAGGGAGAGGGAGAGAGAGAGCGGGGGAGAATGAGAGCCTGGGCATGCTAATGTAGGCCAATAGAGCTGGGGAGAAGGTGGAATTGATGGGGCTTGCTGATAGACGGGGAGCAGAGGGCATCTTAACTTGCTTATTTGGTTTATTTGGTTAACTATACCCCCTCTGTGTTCTGCTATTCTGCAAAGAATTTAAAGCTCCTTACACCTATATTAAAACATTAAATATACTTTTTTTTTATTTTTTACTTTTTTCAGGCCAGCGTGCAAAGGTGCGATCTCAGCTCACTGCAACCTCCGCCTCCCAAGTTCAAGCAATTCCCCTGCCTCAGCCTCCCAAGTAGCTGGGATTACAGGTGCATACCACCACACCCAGCTAATTTTTGTGTTTTCAGTAGAGATGGGGTTTCATCATGTTGGCCAGGCTGGTCTCGAGCTCCTGACCTCAGGTGATCTGCCCGCCTTGACCTCCCAAAGTACTGGGATTACAGGTGTGAGCTACCATGCCTGGCCAGATTTTGTTTTAATCATGCCCCTCTGGGAGGCATACAACAGGAGGGGAAAATGGAATACACACAGGCCATAGATCCCATGCATTTGTTGTAACTGAGCTATATTTTGACTCTGAGTTTCCTGGTGTCCAAGTAAAAGAAGAAACAAAATTGGTTTATATTCCTTATATAGAGCAAGGCTGGGCGCACTGTTTCATAAACAGAACACAAAAAAGAGAATTCTAAGTAGGAAGGAGCGTTAGGAGCTGGGCAGCCAAAACTGCAAAAAATGAGTCAGATATAGACAAGTGTGTCTATAGTTCCAGCTACTTAGAAGACTGAGGCAGGAGGATCGCTTAAGCCCAGAAGTTCAAGACTGTATTATATTATGATAGCATCTGTGAATAGCTGCGGTACTCCAGCCTGGGCAACATAACAAGATCTTGTCTCTTAAAAAAAAAAAAAAAAAAAAAAAAAAAAAAGAAAGAAAATATGCAACTATTGATTTATATAGCCCCAGTCTCTGCTGGTTGACTGCACTATGATTCCTCACCCATGTGATAAGGAGGCCCAGGCTTCAGGAGGGCAGCTCAGAGGTCAACTGTGGCCAAGTGGCCAGTCACTGGCCTCCTATGACCCCAGAGAGTCACTCTGTCACTCTTTAGGTAGGAACCCAAAAAGCCTGGGCCACATAGCAAGACTCCGTCACTTAAAAAAAAATT